TTTTAATTGAAAAAAATCAAAGCACTTTCAAATATCTGCTCTTTTTTCAAAGAGTGAAGTACATGCCAAGTTGAGTCATGAAGAGAAATGTCAGTGCGATTCGCGGCAGCTGCTCGCTTCCCTGGGAAGGAAGGGGCTGGTTTGCAGTACAGTAGCTAGCAAACCCCTCAGCGCCCCACAAAGTCACTAGTGGGAAAAGAACAAAGGGCTTTCCAAAGCAACTAACACAGATGTGCCCAAAGGCGAACTGTCAGAAACAGTTAAGATGACAGCTACTCACAGTTCATTATTTCCTTCTCACAGGTCACTGGGTGACAAGCTGGGTCAGCATGCTTTGTTGGCTGTCCCAGTCCTTCCCCACCCCCTATTCAATTTAAATATGGTTAAAGGGCTCCTTTGGATAAACTAATGTAAACAAACACATTCCAGATACTTAAAGATGCCAGAATATGGCATTTATTTCATTTTGGACCAAACTTGGAATTAAACGTACACACAACTTTCTTTATTCAAGAAGAGAGCAAAAACATTAAAGTGTGGCTAAAGGAAACAAGAAAATATGACCTATTGTGAACTAAGAACCTTATATTTAAGACTTCATATAGTAAGACATTTCCCTTTTCTCCCATGGAAGAATTAATTTTTCCATGTGAAAATAAAAAATAAAAGTTAAAAAAGAAAGAAAAAAGAAAAAGAAAAAGGTCAACACCAGATGGTTTTCTGAAATGTTTGAAATGTACATTAAACAAAATGAATCCATAGGTAATTAAGCCTAATTTGGGGTTATTGTTTTAGACTGTGTGTGTGTGTGTGTGTGTGTGTTGTGTTTAAGAATATAACTCAAAATACACAAGTTAAATGGTAAGCCTGATCAACTCTCATGATGTAACACACATGACATTTTAGTAGTTATTTAATATAACTATGTGTATGATACCATTCTCTTATAAAAATCAGTAAATAAAAACTAATAGGAATGAGGGTAGTCAAGAGATCCACCTAGGCCTCAATTCAAATCCTCACTCCCCCATTAACCAGCTGTATGACTGGGCACATGAGGTTGCTACTCAGAGCTTCAGTTTCTGTATCTTAATTGATATGCACCTATGCCAGGTGCAGTGGTGCATGCCAAGTTATTCCAGAGACTTAGAAGGCTGAGACAGGAGTATCACAAGTTTGAAGCCACACTCTCAGCAACTTAGCTAAGAACCTCAGCAATTTATCAAAACCCTGTCTCAAAATTAAAATTTCATAAAAAGATCTGGGGATGTAGCTCAGTGATAAAGCATTCCCAGGTTCAATCCCAGTGCCCCAGTACAATAAACAAACAAACAAACAAACAAACAAATAAAAGAGTACCTCTATCATCAGGTTATGATGGGGTTTTTGGTTTTTGGTGTTTTTTAGTTTTAGGTAGAATATTTTTATTTTACATTTATGTGGTGCTGAGGATTGAACCAAGTGCCTTGTGAATGCTTTGCGAGCACTCTACCACTGAGCCACAACCCCAGCCCAGGTTATGATATTAATACCAAATCAACCTCTCATGATATTATGAGAATAAATACTTAGAAAAGCAGTAGTCACATGGTAAGTATCCAACAAATGACAACTATTAGTCCTGTCGTGAAGCTGAACTGAATCACCAAAGTATGAAATACCCTGGATAATCATGACAAGTTATAGTCATATTATTAGAAAAAGACTTTTAAAAATCTCTTATTCAAAGGCAGTCCTCTGCAAGTCAGTCTAGACTGCAGATCTAGATAGTTGAATGCAACAGGAAATCAGGAGTTCATAGCTTCCCTTAATATGTCCTACCTCTTATTTAATTTTCACTGAATACTGAATATATTGCTATAACTTTTAGTTTTCCTTTTTAAATTTGTTCTTATCTAAAAGTTCCATTTCCAAGATATCAAGTTAAAATAATAGTCTCTATTTGAAAAGCTGAAGATTTTGAATAAATACTAAGATATGAGCATGAGTAGTCAAGCAGTATAAAGTAGTGGTTCAGAATAAAACGGAGCTAGGGGAACTCAGAGGCCTTCATCAAGTAATTGAATCTCTCCATGTCTCAGATGATGATTCCTCTGTTTCACTTACCTCATAGGTTTTCAGGAATTGATATACTTAAAGCACTTGAGCAAAGTCAGTAAATTTGAGCTGTTATCATTTATAACCTACTGTTATCATTTATTTTCACAGATTACCTGCCACTACTTAACAATCTCTGTCTTCTCCCAAATTTGGCTATTGTAGTTTACTCTTTCTTTGGCTACTTCTAAGGAAGCACTTAAATTTTATCTCTCTCTTTTAATTATTTTCAATTATATATTCTTTATTCAGATTTTCTCATGAATATTTTTCTTGATGTGCTAAAATCCAATTTCCACAGCTCAGATCATTTCACATAATTTCTTTATGATGTGCTATGAATTTTTTCTTTAACTGAATTATCATTGAGAAAAGCAAGAAAATGTAAAGCTCTCTCTCAAAACTGCAATAGTATAACACAGATTTTCTTACATTTGGAAAGTACACAACCTAACAAGACAACCTAAGGTTCAAAGTAACCAGCTCGCCAAATTCTGCATTGCCTTCTAATTTTGCCCCCTACAGTCCGCCAAAATAAGAGGAAAGTGATTACTCTAAGTATTTTATTTTTAACTCAAAACAACTTTAATAAAAAGAGGAAAAGAAACTGAAATAGCATCTACTGAGGTAAATTATGAGGGTAGAGGGGAAAGAAAGTAGATAAATCCCTATGGCTTTAAGGAGGGGGCGGGGATAGAAAGCAGGAAGAATGTATGGAGCCTAAAACACAAATCCTGAGAAAAATCTCACTAAGAAGAGTCCCCTGGGCAATTTCTAAAGAAAGAAAACTCCAAATATGTTTACTAGTCAATTCCTATTGACTAAAAACTATAAATCAAAATGTAATAGTCCCTATTATCCATAGTAGATACAGTCTAAGAAACCCAGTGTTTCTGAAGCTGCATATAGTACTGAATCTCATATGTTTCTCCTATAAATTAATACTTATGATAAAGTTTATTTTATAAATTGGCATAAAAAAGAATAAGAACAATACTAATAAAATAGGATGCTGTACAAATATACTGTAGTAAAGGTTATTTAAGACTTATAAATTGTCTATTTCTAGAATTTTCCATTGAATATTTCTGGCTCAGAGTTGATGTTAGGTAACTGATATTGGAATTATAGGCAAGGGAGAACTACTGAACAACCTTATTAAAAAATTCTTTTCTATCTCTACTTGTTTTTAGAATATTTTCACAACTACCACTTATTGAATACTTACTACTTTATTAGAAATTGAAAGATTCTTTCTTTAATTCTAACTCAGGTATTACAATATATTAGCTGCCACTAATCACATTTTTTGGGGGGGGAGGTCACTTTTTCTAATACTATATGCCTTTTTCACAATGTTCAGTCATCAGATTGTGCCTCAGGGAAAACACAACCACAGAATGCAAAAGCCAAATCTCTCAACTACCCAATGCTCTCAGAAAAAATATCTCCAAGTTGGGGAACAGGGAAATCATAAGGAATCAGGTGAGTTAACAGAAGGGTCCTATTCACAATGGGGCAAGTGTTCTAGAAGCTGAAAGAAGAAGTAACCCATTCCTCTTTCCTCAGCAGAACTTAGTATTTATAAAGACAAAAGCCATGAATAATAACAACCTTAAACATTCTGTCAAAGAGGATAGAGAATAAATGATTGTCCAAAAAGATCAAAAACGGACTCAAAGAGCAGTATTATCAGTTCCCAAGTACCCCAGGGTTCCTTGAGTTCCTACTTTAAATGAGAAACATCAGACAAAGACTGTTCCCAAGGGACTTATATTCTAGTGGTGTGAATAACCAGAGTGGCCTGGATGTGTGGCTACAGACTTGTGGTCACATTGTAGAGCATCAGAGGGATGAGAATCTTGTATGTGATTTAAAGATAAGTAACAGGGAAAAGAAGACCTGGAGTCTAAATTTTCATGCTATCCAAGACAACATCATGATATGATATCATAAGATACTAAATGTACTTCTGTGCCTGATCAAAATAACAAAACCAAATAATAAAGACTGAGTAAAATGAAGAGTCATTTTTGCTATAAGATAGGGGGGAAATTCCCCTCCTATCAAAATCCAGGTGGAAATATGTAACTTAAGAATAAAAAGTAGCTTAATTTAAATAAATACTATCATTTTTTTTCTTTTTTTATGCAAGAGACATTTTTCTCTTCAAGTAGTATATTTACATTTAGGAGTTCCTTTAAACTTTATTGACTATGATAAGAATTGTACTAGTTCTTTGAGAATATTTCAGTCAAAAGTAATTCAAGCAATTATAGATTAAAATTACATTTTATAAAGTCATTTTGTGATTTACAACATCAAATCTAACAATATAATAATAATAATAAAATTCAGCTTCCAATTAAGTAAAGAGAATTGGAGAAATCATTTCCATTTTTCAATCAAGGATAATTTTCAGTTGGTTAGCAGATCACTGATATTGCTCGTATCCTGGCAGTAGAAATGGTGTTAATTTGTAAGCCATCACTACTTGAGTTCATCTACTGTGCACTTAACCTCAGATACAAATATAATATTCTCCTGGTGGAAAATAAAAAGGAATGTTCATGGGTGTGGTCTTCTTAAAGACCTTTGGCATTTTCATAATTGGGTATATGCTCAGTACTGCCTTCACTTAATCATGTTATTTTATTGTATTTTAGTGAGATTCAAGGGAAGCAATCCATCCTCATTATGCTTTTGAAAAATTACATGTATCAATCTTTAACAAAATATACATGTCACCTCTCTTCATCAAATGTGACCCTAAAACTACACTGATTGAAAGCCAAAGGGCTGTTGAGGTATTTCAACAATCATCAAGAAATCAATCTTACATGAAACTGAAGGAAAACATCGAATGTCATTGAGCAATAAAGCTCAGTCTGTCAGTGCCCTACCTCTGAGCGGAAGCCTTAGGATGTTTCTCCTCCAGTTTCCTCACCAGTGCCACTGTCAGCTGCCCTGTCTCCTCAGGAGAACCTTCTGGCATTAAATGGGTGTCTGACGGTTCTGGCAGTTGCTTCAGATCAGGGTTGCTGGCACATTTTTGCAGAACCTAAAACACGAAATATAGGAATAATGGAGCTAACTTCATTGATTGGAAATATCTAAACTATGTTTGCCAAAAACATAATATGCACTTTTCATGCTTTCTTCAGTTTTCATAGAGCATGAAATAACTTGTGCAGAGCCAGAACAAAAGAAAAGAAGGCAATCCAAAGATAAAGCTAGTATATCACCATTTATTTAATAAAATGTTTATATATGACTTTTATATAAATATAAATGTGCATATGGGTATTGAGGTTATATCTTAAACAATCTGTAACATTAAGTTGTGAATTTATGTTTGGTTCTTGAAAACAACTTGAACATATTTTCTCTTTTCAAAACACATTTTAGAGATCTATTTCTGTCTTGCCTCTGGCTTACTACACTCACTTCTTCTGTTAAGTTTCTGCCACATTCTTGATGAGCTGTGGTCCAAGCACCATGGTGAATGTGATACTCTGTTTGAGTCACATCCACTTGTACATTTAGCTCCTCCAGATAGGTCAGAACAAATTGAGGATAAGCCTGTAAGAAATGAAAGAATGAGTACCAGTTTTGTAAGTTGAAACCAAAAATCTGTTCTATTAGAAAGATAGAATATAAATTTCATTAGTAGTAAAAAGATATTGATATGTTACTATTAATCATTACATATACAGTATGTAATTCCTGTATTGTTTGGGAGTACTCTGTTCTGCTCTATAAAACAAAAACAAAATGGAATGGATGAAACTTATCTGGGTTAAGCATAGATAACTTAGTAAGCTGAGAAGCATCAGACAGAGTAAGCATAGCATGTGTCTGTGAACAGAGATAGAAAGAGATGGACAAAATAGACATTTAGTATTTTTAAAATAATAACTAAAGAAACAAATGTTTTTGATACACTAAACAAAGCTTATGAGGCACATAATGATCATGAGATGTTTAATTAGCCACCCCATTGTTGACTCTCACCTGGGATCCTCTGCCAAATAATCCATCTCTGTTCATCAGGCTATGTGGCACTGCTATTGGACAAGCATTTACCAGCTTACATGAAGCAAGAGTATGTCACTGACCAGACACTTTTTGTCTATTAGGCCCCTTGCTCAAATATCAATACTGGTTTTTGTATCCACATCAAATGGGAAAAGTGATGCAGCACAGAGAAAGAATATGTAAATACAAAAGAATAAGATTCAGTAATATGGCTCTTTGACTCACTGGTACCTTATTTTTAAATGTGTTAGTCTGACCATCTCTCTTTCCATATATTTTGCTTTGTGTTTTGAATTGACCCAATAAATTATGATCTGAGCATTTTAATTTGGTCTGTGCACCTTTCTGTTTCATGAGCTCTAGGACAGGGTACCTAAGCAGTATACTCACAAGCTAAAATTGCATCAAAGTAATTTCTTACATGATAATACGTTTATATCTGAATCCTTAAAACAGCCCTCTGAAATAGCTATTACTATTATTACTATTTTAAAGAAGAGGAAACAGACACAAGAAGGTAATCAATTTGTTCAGTGTCATTGTCATCTAGCTTATTAACTAGTCTAGAAAGCCTAAATATGCTGCCTCAACTATGATATAAAGTCCTTGCCATGTTTTTGAAAGTGTGCAACTAAAGTTTGAACAAAAATACAAGGAATCTCTCTCCTTGGTCTATATCCAAAGGACTTAAAAACAACATACTACAGGGACACAGCCACATCAAAGTTCATAGCAGCACAATTCACAATAGCTAAACCAGATGCCCTTCAGTGGATGAATGGATAATACAATGTGGCGTATATACACAATGCAATATTACTCAGCAATAAAAGAGAGTAAAATCATGGCATTTGCAGGTAAATGGATGGAGTTAGATAAGATAATGCTAAGTGAAGTTAGCCAAATCCCAAAAAAAGCAAATGCCAAATGCCGAATGTTTTCTCTGATATAAGGAGGCTGATTCATAGTGGGATAGGGAGCGGGAGCATGGGAGGAATAGACAAACTCTAGATAGGGCAGAGGGGTGGAGGGGGGAAAGAGGGGGATGGGGTTAGAAATGATGGTGGAATAAGATGGACATTATTATCCAAAGTACATGTATGAAGACACGAATTGGTGTGAATATACTTTGTATACAACCAGAGATATGAAAAAGTGTGCTCTATATGTATAGTATGAATTATAACGCAGTCCACTGTCATATATAAAAATTAATAAAAAAATACAAGGAGATGTTCAGTGTACAATTCAAGACACTAAGGCTCTTACTATTCTGGAAAAAGAGATATTAAATTGAATTTTATTAGAAATGTATAAGCAAATATACACACTACAAATGCAAGGCATTCCAGAACCATAAATGCATGTTCATAAGGGTCAGAAGTCAATCTTAAAGTTCTACATACTGTTTGATTCCAATTGTTGGACATTCTGGAAAGGACAAAACTAAGGAGACAGTAGAAATATCTGTGGCTGCTAGACATTAGAGAGAATCAAGGGATGAATAAGTGGAGCACAGAAAATTAGAGGGGGCAATTAAGCTGTTCTCTAAAATACTATAATAAATGGTGGATACATGTCATTAGATATTTGTCCAAACTTACAGAACCTACAATACTAAAAGTGAACTGGAATGCAAACTACAGTCTTTGGGTGATAATGACGTGACAGTGTAAATTCATTGATTGCAACAATAAAGCCATTCTAGTGCAGGATGTACATAGCAGAGAAGGCTGTGAGTGTTTAGGGGTACAAAGGATATAGGAACCATCTCTATCTTACACTTGAATCACTAAAAATGCTCTAAAATGGACTGTTTTTTGAAAAATGTAAGAGAAAAATAGATAAATCATACTATATCAAAATGTTTGTGCTACAAACAATGCCACCTAAAAAGGGAAAAAGACAATCTACAAAATGATAAAAATGTTCACAAATCATTTGTTTGATAAGGGATGTATATCTAGAATCTATAAAGAACCCTTATACTAAATAATAAAAAGACAACCCAATGAAAACATGACCAAAAAAATTGAACAGACATTTCTCCAAAAATGATATACAAATAGCAAATAAGCACATGAAAATATGTTCAACATCACTAGTCATTAGGGAAATGCAAATCAAAACCTTAATGAGATCACACTTCATACCCACCAGAATGTCTATAATCAAAATGACAGAGAATAAGAAGAGTTGGCAAGGATGTGGAAAAGTTAGAACTCTTATAGGCTGATGGTAAGAATGTAAAATTATGTAGCCATTTGTTTAGAAAACAATTTTTATATGTTAAAAGTACAGTTATTATATGATCCAGAAATGTACTGTTAGTTATAAACCCGTAAGAAATGAAAGCATATATCCACAAACTTCTGTACCAATGTTCATAGCATCATTATTCATGATAAGCCAAATAGTGAAAGCAAATAAAATGCCCATCAACTAAAAAGTGGATAGATAAATCTGACATTTTCATACAATGCAATATATTCAACAGCAAAAAGAAATAAATTATTAACACATGCTATAACATGAATGAACTTGGAAAAAATTATGCTAAGTGAAAAAAAAATCAATCATACCAGACCACATATTCTATGATTCTTTTTTATAAAATGTCCAGAATAGGCAAAGCTATAAAGAAGGTAGGAATAGTGCAGCAGTCAGAATTGGAGAAATATGTGTTAAGTACAGGTGTCTTTTAAGGAAGACCAGATGGTTTAAAATTAAATTGTGGTAATGGAGGGATAACTATGAATATATTGAAGAATAGTGATGGGTACAGTTAAAATGGTGGATTGTATGGTATTTAAATTCTATTTCAATAAATCTATTTTGTGTAAGGAATTCAATATAAAAAATTAAAGGGCAAGGTATTTCAAGATTTAAACCAGAAAAAATAAACTAAAGATATACAGGAAAACATGGAGAAAAATGATGCAAATTAAAAGCATGGTAAACATAATTTTTTGTTGAATCAATCAATGAGTGACTATCAAAATTTTAAATGTGTATTCCCTTTGCCTTAACAAACATACATGCATAAGAATGTTCATTGCAGCATTGTTTACATTTACTTAAATGTGCATCACCAGAGAAATTATTTAAAAAGAAAGTAGCTTAGATATAGATGTCAATAGGGGAATATGATCACAACATGTTATAAAGGGGAAAAAATTGGTCACAAAGTCTTATGTGTGGCTATGTGCAAGTGTGTGTGTTTGTGTGTATGTATTTGTATCTAATTAACCAGGAATGATATACCATCAATGATAATATTTGAGGAAGATGGATAAGAGGTACTGTTGCTTATTATTGCAAAAAGTTCTTATTTATTAGAGCCTTTTAAAAACTAACATATGTTACTTTTATTATTTAAATGAGAACTATGAAATTTATGTACATAACACCTAATAACTTCTGTGAAAATATATATAAACCTGCTATTAGTGAATAACAGGGAAATAGAGATGAAGTTTGAGAAGAAAGGACTTTACTTCTCATTAATATATCTTTTCTGATACTAACTTATCATGCATATATTGCTTTTATAACAGTATTTTAAAAACAATTAAAATAGTTTCTTTATTTTCTTTTTTTAAGTGCTGAGGATAAAACCCAGAACCAGGCAAATACTCTACCACCAAGCCACAGCTCCAGCCTCAAAATAGTTTCTTTATTGCACATAGCCTTGGGAAAAGATTTTTGAATTACTAAGTTAACCCGAAATATTAGTAAAAAGAACTTTAATACAAGAAAAAATAGGATTTTCATTTTACCTTGAAGTTTCTATTGCATTGCTATTTTTTCTTATGTCAGCCCTTATTGTCTTAAATATGTTCAAGAAAATGCAACTGATGAAAAAAATGATAGATGATGTAGAAAGACTATTTTACACTGGTTCTACAGCAAAATATCAAAGATCAAATTGAGCAACAAAAGACAACTGTATTTTCAAAAGACAACTGAATTTTTATTTTTTTTTTTTTTTTTACTTTTTTTTATTGGTTGTTCAAAACATTATAAAGCTCTTCACATATCATATTTCATACATTAGATTCAAGTTGGTTATGAACTCCCAATTTTACCCCAAATACAGATTGCAGAATCACATCGGTTACACATCCACATTTTTACATAATGCCCTATTAGTAACTGTTGTATTCTGCTACCTTTCCTATCCTCTACCATCCCCCCTCCCTCCCCTCCCATCTTCTCTCTCTACCCCATCCACTGTAATTCATATCTCTCCTTGTTTATTTTCCCATTCCCCTCACAACCTCTTATATGTAATTTTGTATAACAATGAGGGTCTCCCTCCATTACCATACAATTTCCCTTTTCTCTCCCTTTCCATCCCACCTCATGTATCTGTTTAATGTTAATCTTTTCTTCCTGCTCTTCCTCCCTGCTCTGTTCTTAGTTGCTCTCATTATATCAAAGAAGACATTTGGTATTTGTTTTTTAGGGATTGGCTAGCTTCACTAAGCATAATCTGCTCTAGTGCCATCCATTTCCCTGCAAATTCTATGATTTTGTCATTT